GACTCTGTACTAAATATATCATACTTTAAATAAGATATTCTTTTTATCAGCGATGCATTGGCTGGATTTTAAGGTCTGACTTGAGCAGAAGTAGACACTTGGCAGCGCAGAGCCTGTTCCAAAATGCTGTTTGAAGGTTCAAGAGGTAGTAAAGGCGCATGGCAAGGCAGTCTCCTCCTCACTGTCTGCTTTTTGCGGTTGCTATGGAAACATGCAGTCCAAACCCCCAGAAAGGCAGAATGTATGTAATCAGCGCTACAGAGAGGAGGCAGGGGGAGTCCTGCTAGGGTTGCTCCCAAAGAGCCATGCTGAAATAAAGATGAATTCTCTTTTTTCTTTCCAAACTCTGCAGGCCATAAAACTCAGCCTCTTTCTCTCAGTCAGATTTCCTCAGTGCTCATACTCTCATTTAACAAGTGGATGCAATCCTGTTCCCCTCCTATTAAATATGCATGTTTAATTTGTCTCTCAGTTCATATTTCAAGAGGTGAAGGAGTTGCTGTCATGGGACTTAATTTACTAATGAAGAGGGGAAAGAGCTGAATCTCATAAGTGTAAGAACATAAGGCTGGAGTTTCTATAAAAGCCTTATTTTGCTGATTTATTTGTTGATCCACTTAAAAGATCTACATGTCTTTCACCTTCTCCTCTGATTGGCTATATAATGCCATCCATATGCAGGTATAATGAAAATCTTTGACAGACTGCTGGCTGTTCTTAGTCTTGATGGTGATTCCCATAGATGTGGAATTAACTAGGAAAACAATATAAACACCCCTTAAACCTCTAAAAATGTAAATGAACTGAAATTGGTGCGATACCTGTCTTTGTTAACCTGTTATGAATTTGATGGACTTGTTATTTTGGAGTGATAATTAGTGGCCATTATTTAGAAGAGAGGTTGTAGTTTTATTATCAGCTAACGCTAGCACGCTTGGTTACCAAGCTCCATCCATAGGATGTAGGGGTGCAGGGTGAAGACACAGATAACTGGCAATTAGTACTAACAGACTAATAAATGTTTTTGGTCTTCAGCGGTGTGCAGTTACAGAAAGCCAAGCAGACACCAAACCTCTACCAGTGCTTTGCTTGCTTTTATTAATGCTGTACTCGGCGTGGCTGAAGAATTGTTAAATGTTATTAGTTCTATATTTATCATTAGAATATTCACTGATAGCTGTACTACTAGCTAAGTACTAGTAAAGTACTTAAAAATGTTACCCATTTTCAGAGTTATATGGATCAATATTTCTGGTGCAGATGTTTAAAAAGGAACAAATTTTAAATACTTTACATTCTATTTAATCTCCAGTAATGCATCATATTCTACAAAATCATATGTTTGTGGTGGCTGACATGAGCTATATAGGCTATAACAGGATTAAGTTATGACTAACAAAATTATATTGAAATAAAATAACTGTTGAATAAACAATCTTGAGCAGTGTATGAAATTGTTAACTGATAAAAATCTACAAGGGGATTAAAAACAATAAAAAAATTGAACTATTCAGTCAACCAAGTGATTTCTCACAGATGTTCATTTAAAAGTGCTGGCTGAGCCTGCACCAGTTCAACTTGCATGTATTTTTCTGTCTATTTATTTAACTGGTAAAAGCAGGAGCCTTGTGTTTCCTTCCTATCATCAAAGCTTTCCTTCCTAACATGCTAAAGAAATTATTAAAGTTTCTTACATTACACATGTTGGTCAAACTGATTAGTAACAGAAAATTTATATTTTGTGATGTTAAACCAGGGGGCATTTTATTTGTTAATTCTAGCTCAGTTTCTGCAAAATGTGTAGATTGTAACTGTTCTCAGAGCAGTAAAAGCAGAGCTGTAACACACTAGTCTTCAAGATCAGACGCTTGTCTATACTGTGCATGCGCAAATAACCAGAACAAACTGTCGACCGTTTAGCTTGTCCAGCGCAAGCCTTTGGTAGGACTTGGACATGCACATGAATTCCAGCGACTACAGATTTCAGTGGAATCATAGACAAGCAGAGTTAAGTTCTCTTCCAGCTACAATAACTGCTAACTGCTGCCACAAAATGATTGAATGTAATGAGAGAATCTTTTGGAATGGAACAGTGTTTGAAACGTAAAGAGAGAGAGAGATCACTTTCACTTTGACTTTTATTTCACTTTCAGATTTAACTGGACAAGCACTGCTTGCCTTGCTTGCCCTGACAGAACACTTCTGTTTTATCGATAGTTTCCCCATTCATAGTATCTGTAGAGTATTATTTTTATGTGTCAGAACACCTATTTACCGCATTGGCCTTAACAATTTCCAAATGGATAAGGTATAAAATCCACCTCTGTAAAGTATACAGGGGGAAAATAGACAAGTCCATGAACGCTTCTTGATCCAGGATATAAAAATATATTGCATGGCTAAAGTTGGGCATTTTACCATGAAAGTGAGTAAGTGGGGGCTGGCTCATTTTCACTAGCCTCCAGTGGCCTTTGCAGGAATGTGGTTTTAGCCACTTCCATTTTTCAAAACCAGACTTTCTGCTTGGCTGGAAGTGATTATTCTCTAAAGTCTTGGTGATGGTGGCCTGTTGCTAGCTAAACTTAAACTACTTTCTTGGCAGCATCAAACATCTGCAACTATAAATTCTATACAGCTAAACTAAACTATAAATGGCCTGCATTTGTATAGCACTTTACTCAGTCCCTAAGGACCCCAAAGAACTTTACACTACATTCAGTCATTCACACACATTCACACACTGGCAATGGCAAGCTACGTTGTAGCCACAGCTGCCCTGGGGCGCACTGACAGAGGCGAGGCTGCCAGACACTGGCGCCACCGGGCCCTCTGACCACCACCAGTAGGCAAACATGGGGTTAGTATCTTGCCCAAGGATATTTGGCATGCAGCCAGGAGGCAGCCTGGGATCGAACCACCGACCTTCTGATTAGTGGCTGACCTACTCTGCCACTTGAGCTACAGCCACCCATAACCTGAAATAAACTTTGTGGGAGAAAATACAACAACAAAAAAACAGGCTTTAAACACCATAAACCTAAACATGGGAGTATCACTGGAAACGCTCCAGTTAAAGACCCCATGTGGATCAGCCTTTTTCTTCAGAATCAACCCTTCTGTCATGAACTACTTCCTCTCCTTGCCTCTCTTTTAATCAGTCTTTCCCAGATGGAGGCTCATCAGGGCTGCCCTCCTCTTTCATATACAGTCCCTGAGAGAAAGCTTGTGCATTTCGGACCTACTCAACCAGAGACGCCCCCTCGGCCTCTCTGCAGCTGTTAGCCATTCCCAGGCTGGGAGAGAAGGTGAGCACAGATAAGAGGTCTTTATCTGGGCCCCAAAGGAAGGCAGGTTAAGTTTAAGGTGAAGGTTTGACATGGCCGCCGTCTGCTTGCGCTGGCTGTTTCCTCCCACCTCCTCCACCTCCTGATGTGAGGCTCAGGCTCAGTCCCCAATCCCCATGTCCCTGGGCTCATTCTTGATGGCCCCTACTGCTTCAGCTTTAATGAGAAAGATGAAAGAAATGCAGGCTGGGAGAATACCCAACCCTCCTCCCCTCATCTCCTTCTACCACTCCATTCACTTTGCTCCTCGTCCCATTTGTTCAGTACAACCTCGCTCTCACTGGCCCTCCAGCATTAACTCATCTAAGACTTTTTACTGGGGTGGGGGAGTTTTACTGTGATAAATCAGTAACAAGGGTAGTTTCTTTTAAAATTTCAGGTATTATTCCCTCTGATCTTACGTGCAAATTTCTTTCCAGCCTTTATTTCTCGTGCCCTGGCTCTTTGGTTCTGCTGTGGACATGTTTTAATCATAAAGCAATGGAAAAGTGGCTCTACTACTTTTTAATTTTTTTTTATTTTTGGTTACAAGATCGTTTTTTTGGGATTTCAGGGTTTTCTAAATGTCCCTACATTAAAAATAATCAGTATACTCTGGAATGAATATATATATATATATTTATTAATGACAGAACATGTTTTTTTATTAAACCACTCCATTTTTCCATTTTCAAAATCAAAGATAAGATCCAAATCTAGATCAAATCATCAGAGTTCACCACAGGTGAACTCACAGCATGACCTTTACCTGAAAAGGAGCATTATCAGTGATGATCTTCATGTGACTAACATTAAAGAAGCCAGACTAATGATGAAAAGAGTCCTCAGTCTACTGTCGACATTACTCTTTATCTCTGAGTCCAGTGTTGCACCTAAAGCACTGATTCTGAACAATGTGGCTGTGTTGACAGCACCTAAACAACAGTTCAGCCCCAGAAGGGACAGAAAGATCACACTTCAAAAGATGGGTGTGTTGTCCAAAATTTAGAAAAAAAAAAAAGATAAAAATAAAATAATGTATAGTCTTTTTGCAGCTGGGTCCAGTGTGTTCACCATCAGTTAGTGTAATTCAGTGCTTCCATCTTGTGGTCAGTTTAGGTATTGCAGTACCAAACAAAACTTCTCAAACAACAGCTGTACACTTTAACATTACCATTGCTGTCACCATATTAAAATGTGCAATCAGTTTCAATTTTCAGGTAAGAGAGCTTCCTTTTGCTTTATAGCATACAGAAATTTGCAACAGTCTTGAACCATCCTTCGTTTTTTGCTTCCAGGAGCCAGACGGTTTTATTCTTTAAGTGTTTGTGAGCAATAGCTCTCCAAGCTTTCTGAAAATTTATTTGTACCTTGCACTTGATCACTTTCATTCTTTGTTTGTTAAGTGACTTAACACTGTCATATAAATCATTCAAGGAAAAAAATGCACCTAACTTAAGTGATAAAACCTTTAAACTTGTTACAATTAAAATGTTAAATTAAAAACATTAAAATGTTTAAAAGTACATGTCAGAAACAGAACTACAGGATGAAATTGTACCTAAGACACGTTAGAGGCACGTATGTACACAGAGACAATAGTGCAGCATAATAAAGAGTTAATATTTCACTGTGTGTTATGAGCCCTGCATAGTACTAAAACCCAAAACACGTGGAGGATGGCGGAGTGTTTTTTATTCAGCAATGCACTTTCTCCAAGGCTAAGATACAAAGCAGCTCAGGATTGAGAAACTTTAGAGCTTCCTAAATAAATACAATGTAAATAACAAGCTGTTTAACCAAGAGAGACAGATAATTCTGCCCCAGCGATCTCACAGTGTAACTTATTAAGACCAACAAAGTATCTGATTACTTCTTTTTAAGTAAGTCATTGTGACAATACTTTAACATGGTGGTCTGACCAACATTTGGAGAAATATGAAATGAAAGGGACTTCAAAGATGCAAATTAATAGAAGAAGCTGTATATGTAAACACATGGACAATAATAGAGACCACGTGCTCCTCCTAAGAAAACATTAAAGTGATTGTAATTATATGAATTTACCGTTCCATATATAGGACGGAGTTTTGGAGAATTGGAGAAGCCGTCTCATTAAGGATTACTGTCTTACACGTTTTTAGACTTGTCCTGGTTGTTCATGTATTTCTGGTAAACCACTGCCAGCGTGGTGAAGACGTTTCCCATGAAGAGGACCAAGTAAGAGCAGCCGCACATGAAAACCTAGACCACAGCAAAATAAACAAAAATAATACACACAAATAATTCTAAATACAGAAAATGTATACCTTTTATGAGGATGTGTTCACTAAAATATCTGTTTTCATGTAATTTTTGCTTAATGACCTCATTTATAAAATAAATAAATTTAAAAAAACAAACTTGTGAAAGCTCTGGTGTACAAACCTGCCACTCTTTACATTCTGGGAGCTGAAACATCCTGAAGAGTGTTATGCTGTTGTAAAGCTGCCAAAACTGTAACAGAACAAATAGTTAACAGTCAAAAATGTCCTAAAACACGTTCCTGCAAGAATTTTCTAATTTAGTATCTAGTAAAGAGTTCACAGTATTACAGAAAAGAGAAAAGAGCCACTTACATGATAAAAGAACAAAAAGGGCAGGAGGAAGGTCAAGCCTCTCCACATCCAGGACTGGAACCCTTCTGAACACAAAGAGGGGAGAGAAGAGAGGCACTCGTATAAGAGAGACACTGAGACGATGCATGTGTGTAGGAGGACTATAGACATAGTACACAGCTGACATAAAATAAGATGTTAATATGTAAATGAGACACTGGGATTTAAAAATACTTATCATGTACAAACATGGTAGTACAGGGATCATAATATTGTTTGTGCCAAGTTAAACATAACTATAAACCAGCTGCCAACATGCCAATCAAATCACCCCTTGGTTTCTGGACTCTACACTGTGTTGGGAGTTCGCCTTGTAATCGGAAGGTTGCCGGTTCGAGCCCCGGCTCGAGCCCCGGCTCGGACAGTCTCGGTCGTTGCGTCCTTGGGCAAGACACTTTACCTACCGCCTACTAGTGTTGGCCAGAAGGGCTGATGGCGCGATATGGAAGCCTCGCTTCTGTCAGTCTGCCCCAGGGCAGCTGTGGCTACAACTGTAGCTTGCCTCCACCAGTGTGTGAATGGGTGGATGACTGGGTGTGTAAAGCGCTTTGGGGGGACTAGTAAAAGCGCTATACAAATACAGGCCATTTAGCGTTTTTAGGATCCAGAGATGACTGTCTTTTTATGTGAGGGTACCCTGATAAGTTATCTGTTAAAGCAAGTAAACTGCATTTAGGGCTGGGCGATATATCGAGTTTTTTAAAAATATCGATATATTTTCATACGAGATATAAGATGTGACAATATCGTTTATATCGATATAGTCTATCTTACGTTATAATTATACTTGTGGAGCCGCAGGTTTGCCTCTCTTTCGTCCACTTTTGTCTCTACGAAACGTTACTCGGCCTTGCCTCTCCTTCACTGAACACAACTCCGCCTCCCCCATAGCTTTACCTGCAGGCAATGACAAGATGAAAGCGGAAAATCTCCATTAGCGAGTTACCGTGCGTGGGGCTGGACGGCGTCAACGTGTTAGCGAGCTAACCGTGCTAACGAGCTAACCGCGCTAACGACATGCAGCCCGGAGGAGCTGCACGGCCTAAAATCCTTTCATTTTCTCAAAAATCGACAGTGCGCCTTATGTATGAATTCTGGTTGTGCTTACTGACCGCGAACCGATTTTATGTGGTACACAGCGCTCAGCAATCTGTCAAAAAAATTTTTTAATATGACTTTGCTAAGCTACGGAGCTGCACCGCTTGATGGATTGTCGGAGGATTACGGCTATCAAGGAGGAGCCTCGCGGAGTGATACGTACTGTGTGTGTATAAGGACCACAAACGGCACCTGTTCAGAGATGTGGTGCAGCTGTGAAATCTGTCTCTTTGTTATTATGCTCAGCGTCTATTAGTTTACATTTTGACTGCACAATTGTGAGCTTTTTGTTATGCACAAAAACAACATTGTTTTCTTTTATTTATGGACCATGATTATTTAATAAATGCTGATAATTTATTTTTGAGTAATTTCTTCATGTACATCTACGCTGTATGTAAATAAAAGTGCCCGTGTGACATCTGGGACACAGTGTGACTAAGAACTCTCTTTTTGTTCTTAACTTATAGCTTTAAAAAAAAAAAATCGAGATATATATCTTATATCGCCATCCAGCTAAAAAATATCGAGATATGAATTTTGGGTCATATCGCCCAGCCCTAACTGCATTGATAAAAAGTTAAACACTACAATGCAAAAATAAATGTAAACATAGAGAATTTCACTCGCCTAAACTGAAGCAAAACTCCTTATTTGTCAGATAAAAGGCACTAATCCATAAAGAACAAATGTTTTTTTTTTGTGAAAACTTGCTTTTGAAGCCTGCCTCAAGTGGCCAGTCTGGGAACTTCAGTTTCTGGCTTAAACTTTTTAGTCAGGCAGCATAACCAACCTGGTGGTGATGCTAAAATGTAATCTCAACTGTTTTCATTGCCTCAGACATACCTTTATCATTCAGTAAATTTATTAGTAAATTACCAAATGTACCACCTGTAACACCCTGAAGTCAGATGCCAAGATCAGCCAGATAAATATATCATGCTTTATCTTGTTCTGTACCACCTTCCTCTTCGGCTTCCGTTATTTCAAAGTCATTTATGAATATAAATAACAAGCTGGTGTACTCACCCACTGTAAGGTCCATATTATGTCTCTCTCCCAGTGCTCTGAGTCTGTACAAACAACCACTTTGGTAGTAGTACTGGAGGAACTGAATGAAACCTAAAAGAAAGAGAAGTGCATGTATGACTTCATTGTTGGGCATCTTGCCCAACAATGAAGTCATACATGCACTTCTCTTTCTTGTGACACAAGTGAGACGAGGACCAACCACAAACAGACTTGCTTACTTTGAATATTATCAACAGTTTACACATTTTAACCGTGTAAGAATGACATGCATGCAGGAAACGCATCAGAATGAGTACATTCATGTAGCTTTCCTGATTGAGGCTTGTGCATATAGAACCCTAACTGTACAAAATTCTTTATTAAAGTGCATTCATTTCCACATTCCAGGTGCCTGATCTAATGTTTCGGTCTCTATACTAAGAGACAGATACAGCTTTTATGCACTTTTATGATGCTTCCCATGATGAGAATCGAGTCCCCACAAGATATTTAAATGACTATGGGAAAAATATGCTTTCTATGCTTTTCTTTTTTTTCAGTTTTTGTTTGCATTTGTTGTAAATTATTGGATAATTTAGGCCTGAATGAATCCTTAAATTGAAATATGCAGTTCTGCTAGGTAGGCTCAGCTTCATTTTAAGAGTTTGCAAGCCAAAATCATCACCTGACAACTCATACTGCAAGCATGTCAATGAAACAGGGGCAGTCTCTTACTTTGGTATAAGCAGTAACTTAGAAACTGGTTCCTAAACATCTGGTAGAGTGCACCTTCAGGCCTGTCAACAAGGACATAAAAACAAAGCACACCCACATAATATGTATGTCATTTAAAACGGAAAGGATTTCGATAGCAGGGATGCAAACAGTTATTGTATTATTGAATAATTTTAAAACTGTGATAAAAGTGCAAAAACATCACTCACCAAGTGAGCATGACTCCAGACAAGAAGGTTGACACATAGTGATGGAAAACCCACCAGCCTTTGATCCTGAAACAATTTGGAAGATTGAAGGATTACAGACGGGATACCAACAAGAAAATAACATCTCATAAATAAGATAAACCAAACAAAATATATAATAGTCATTATAACTGGTCACATACAGTAGTTACAGAAAGGCTTAAGAATAAGGCTTTCTGTAGTTGACAATGCCCTGCTTTATTACAAAGCCTTTGCATATAATCTCCTATTATCATTAAAAGAAAAACAGTGGAGACAGAGGAAATAAAATGGTCACAGACCTAGAGCCGTTGCTGATGAGGATACTCTCCCGGATGGTGAGAGTGCAGTAGTACCACACCAACAGGAAGTTGAACAGGGCGTCTAGGACTCTAAAAACAACAAACATGATGATGATTATCTTCCTTTATACATTAACATGGGACCTGTAGTGGATTTGCAGATAATTCAACATTTACTACTTGCTGCTACAAACATTTGCCAATAATGAGCGAGCTGACAACATCATCCACAAGTTTCATGAAAACCAACTCAAAACAAAACAGTAATGAGGTGTGGGGAATCATACCTGTAGCTTAACAAAAAGCGACACGTAAAAGAGAATACAAAGAGGATGACAGTGAGGACCAGTTTGAACTTCTCATATTCGTCTTTGTAGGCAAATCTGTTTCATGAAAGAATAGAAATGATTATTATTGTGGTGCTCATGTGGCCGCACTTTAAGAGGCATTTTTAGGTTTGAAAGAAGAAGAAAATTACCCTTATACTGGACTTACTTTGACTGTTTGTTGAGGAGTGTTATATTGACATTTCCTAAAACAAGATTGAGATATAACCTAAACAGGAAGAGGCATTAGTTATCCAAAATGTCCTCAAATCTTATATAAATATGTTTTATTTTTAAAACGCAAAACTCATCCACTTTAAACTAGAGATGGACCGATCCGATACTGACGTAAATTACTGGATCGGATATCGGAGAGAAATAAAAAATGTAATCCAATCCATTAAATATCAAAAAAAGCACCTCACAAAACTCGCGACATGGCGTAACTCGGCCCATAACCGTAGCACGTCGGAGCAGCGTGCGTCGCCTGATAGAGCGGCTGTGTGTATTTGTAGCCTCGCTACCAAACCGGCATTTCATCTCCGAGGAAGTTATCCCAGAGAGAAGTAAAGCAAGTGTGCAAGTTCATCTCTGAATGTTTGTAAAGCATTCCCACGTTAAGCTTAACAACTGATATATGGAGTGACTGGCTCTTCTCTCTCTCTCTCCCCCTCTCCTGCTGCTACTTCAATCATGAAACTGCTTAATGATCAGCTGATCGGCTTTTCTGTTGCGAGTCCGTCTCTCTTCTTTGTTTTTGGCCCACTTTGCACCAGAAAGAGGAAACCAGCGGCTGAACAACAGCAGCACGTTTAAGCTTGATAAGCTGTTGTTAGAATTTATTTAATATTACTTTCTACACCAGGATCGTTTTCTACGCAGCTGACGGCTGTAACTGTGCAGGGGCGGATCTAGCAAAGTTTAGCCAGGGGGGCCGATAGGGCATGAACAGGGAAAAGGGGGCACAAAGACATACTTTTCTTTCTTATTCTCATTCAAAATGTCTAGCTTTAAATAAATAATTATCTGAATCTTACACCCAAAGTTTTAATCTGATGTAAAATGTATAGAAGTCCATTACTGTATGTAGTAACCGTTAAGTCTAATATACCCTAGTAAGCTATAGTACTTTTTCCTTTGGGAAGATACCATCTGTGCAGTCTGCAATTCTGTTGAAGAAAGATGTTGAATCTATTTAATTATTCTTGAAAAATAATTTATTTCTGTGCATTTTTTTTTTCTTCACACTGCATCAAATTAAAGTTGATTACGTCGATTAAGCATCATAAGGTGGAGGGTGATTCTCTATTTTTTTTTGCTGGGAGTTTGCAACCCTATTGGTTAGGTTGCTTAATATTTCTGCTAAGTACTCTTTAAAATACCAGAATAGGGAGGATGGTGTAGGTTTAAGTTTATTAGATTGATCAGTATTGCTGAACTATGAAATATTTTGGGTGCAGTGTATTTTTTGCATACAGGTATAACAGAATGGCTTTAGTGTTGTTTATTTAAACTTGAGTATGAACTTATACAAAATGCAGCAAGATATTAAAAAAACAGTTTTATTGATTAAAAAACACACTATATCGGATTCATATCGGTATCGGCAGATACCCAAATTTATGATATCGGCATTGGACATAAAAAAGTGGTATCGTGCCATCTCTACTTTAAACATTTTCCTTGTTTACTTCCATTTGGACAAAGAAAATTGTAGCTATTTATCATTCTCATTTAGAATCATACCCATTCCTCTTGGGGAGAAATGCTTCCATCTCAAAGAAAGTATGTGCTCTGTCTTTGATGGAGTCCTCGATTTCTGCGATGGCATCCTCTTCCTCTGGACTTAATTTGGCTGTTGAAGAATTTGATTTGCATCTAATGGAAAAAAAAGATTTGTTAGGACAATTGTTAGGTTTCATGCATGTAGGAAGATGTTCACAGAGTCACTTTTGATTTTAGATCCAGTTTGTGGACAAGGTAGGTTGTGATTCTGTTGTGGCAGTTATAATCCATAATAATGCCCTCCTTCGGAAAATGCCTGCAATTGGTCAGATCCTCCTATTGCAGGCTAGATTTTGAGAACTCAGTGGAGGTGCAGGAGTTTAATATCCTCCTTAGCACACATGATTATAACATGCTGAAAGATTATCAATTTTTTGCTCAGTGATGCCAAAAATGACTACCTATCCCAGCTTTAATAGTAACACTCTCCATGTTATGAGAGTGTCAAATCAAACAAAATATATCCATGAACTTAAAAAGTCTGAATTATGAACCCTTAGTATCTGAAGAAAGTATTACGTGAAGTACATTCAAATATAACTCTTACTTGACTTTTAAAGTCCTCACATTTTTTTGCATTTATACTCCCACTGACCATATCTGTCATACTAAGTTCATGTTTTTTTGTAGAGCACAAAGTCTTCCAACACCCAGCTGAAGTTTTTTAAAAAGAAACAAAGCTTCTTTAAATGCCAATTAATACTGAACTGCAAAACTAAACATAAAAAGCTGCAGTTACTCTTTAAAAAGCATGTCTGGTAATATTGGAGAAAGTGGAAAAAAGTCCCTGAAAACAACCAGCTACTAAAAAGCCAGAATAAATTCCTACCCAATTCATTTTTTGGGCTTCTGTATCCTGAATGAGCTGATGACACAAATGCTTTTACAAAAACATTACATACACATATTTCAAGTTATCTTGTCTCATTTCTGATCAATACTTACTCTTCTAGGGACACAGTAAGCTCTTTCAGTTTCTTCCTCTGACGTGCGATAGCGTTTGAGCAGCTGTCTTGCAGTTTGGTCACGTCCTCAAGTTTCTGTTTATATAGACGATGGGTGTCCTGGGGTTAAAAAGAAAAAAAAATCCAGAGGATAATATAAATATGTATGGTGTAATGCAAAAGTTTTAATTATGATGAAATCTGCAAGGTAGGATGGGCACAAAAAGATAAAAACCAACCAAAGCTTTAACCAATCAGAATCAGAATCAGAAAGACTTTATTTATCCCCAAGGGGCAATTAAAATTAACCAAAGAATCTGATGCTGTTGCATGTTTTTCTTTAATGGTTGCAATACAGGCTGCTAAATGGGTTATCATGTAATAATCATGGATTTATTGTTAATGGATTCTTGGATTCTAACCCTAACCCATAGATATTTTAAATGATTACATGAGAAAATCTGTCTAGCTTCCAAAGCATTTAAATAAGTTATTGTACCTTAATTATTTAACTATATATTTGAGGTAGGTATAATCAGACGTAAGTATGTTGCTTTCCAGAAAACATGTGACTGGTTATCACAGTTGGTTTGTACAAGTTTAAGACACTTTTAACTGCCAAATTTTTCTGTAAAGTGATTCTGTAAAAGTTGGGCACAGGAATAATTTTTTACCCCCTTGGCTTCATATTGTGGCAAATTCCCAGAACTGAGCAATCAGAATTGCACAAGAGACAGAGAAATGGTTGTGCCCTCTTTTATATGACGGAAAGTGATGCAATTTTACGCAGAATTTACAACTGCAGACAGCAGTTACTACTTTGCATTTTACTATTCACACACACATATTGATAAAGGGCAATCTGGTATTCAGTATCCCACTCAAGGATACTTTGAAAGGAATTGATCCAACAACCTTCCAGTTAGTAGACAACCCACTGTACCACCCAAACCACAGCTGCTCTAATATGATGTGTAAATTGACATGGTAAGACAAGTTACCTAGAAAAATATTTGTGTATTGTGCTACATTTACTAGCATAAACAGACCTACTCAAAAAACTCTGTCTCAATGTATTAATCTTAGCAAAGACACACTGAATATATAAAATCTATTTTATGTGTTTGCATCATTGTCTTGCAGTTAAAATGCTCGCCTTTTTAAAATGTAAAATTTCCAGTTACACCAAAATTCACATTCAGTATATTGCTCCAACAATTGTGTTTTTAAATTTAGTTTTTCTTACCTTGATGCTGGTTTAGGACCTGAACACTTCCTTTGACAAGTGACAAACGCATTTCAGTGCCTGCCATTTAGTTATATATTAACACCACACCTATAAACGACAACTAACCAGGCCTATATCAATATATGTGCACTGTAACGGATCTAAGCTCTCAACGATAACAACAAACCAACACCCATAGCCCCGAGGTTCTTCCTTTAACAGTGTGACAGCTGTCACGGTGGAGGAAAAAAAAGAGGCTGTTGTCCTCGCAGGAATTAAGCTTACGTTTCAATTACATTTTCTGCATCTCTTGGCTGTCACAAGACAGTTATCTTGAGCTGCTGAAGGCAAGCCCCTCATTCTGTAGCCTGTGCGTTTCCCCCACCTACCCCCGACTGTTAGCTTACCCGGGCAGGGGTAACCAGGGATGGACACACCATTTAGTTAAAATACCTGAATCTGTTGGTAGTCCTTATCTAAATCCTCCCATTCGCGTAAGCACTCAGATAAACCACCTGGACTGAACAACATTTTTCCCTCTGGCATCAGGAAACCTCGCGGAGTTGGTCAATAATCACACTCGAGTGAGCAACAGTTGTACCACCCAACAGAATTAAAGCTTAACAGATAAACTGGCGCTACTTCCTGCAAGCACCTTCATAATAAAGGTGTTGAGGTATTTTAACGTTCCCAGTTCAAAACGGATGGATAATAAAATACGTAAATTGGCATTAGTTAAACATAATTACAAATGTGTTGTAACTAATTGCGGTTTAATATTTTATTAATTTATGTTTTAGTTTCCAATGAATAAGTGGTTTATGGGGTACTTTCAATGAGTTTTTGTTACTGACACCGATGGTCCAAAAAAAACAAAAACACCCCCCCAATAAAATAAAAATATAATAAATAAATAAATAAATAAAAACAGAAGGTAGAAGGACACACATTATGTAAACACAGTAATTATAGTGTGTGTGTGTGTCTGATTTTGGCTTAAACCACCATTATTTGTAAGTCTATTATTTTAACATGAATTTGTTTTAATTTAATTTAACTTCATTTGTAATTTCATTTACTTATTTCATTGCTGCTCTGTTACGAACATAATGTATTCGAATGGTGGCTTACAGAATAATTTCATATATATCTTTTTTTCAAATAGTATAGATAGCAGTAATCCTATAAAGTCCAAATATATTACTTTGTTCACTCCAAAACCACTTTACACTAACAACAGTACTATTTAATTTCAAGGATTAAAAATGTATGCTTTTATTTATTTTTTAAATGTCCCATCCGGTTAATCATAGGCTTATAACTAGTTACCCCAATCAGATGTCAGGCTGGCATTTCGGTTTCCCCTATCAGCCAATCAGCTCTAGCATCTTTAGAGCCGCTTTGTCACATCAGGAAATAGTGCCCTGAGTTATATCTTTCAGGCAATACAACAGCTTTTTATCCATCCAAACTAACAAGCCGGGTTTGCCACATTACCCTAAACTGTCATCTAATCCTAGCCATGCTAGAAACTACAGAAACACAGATAATTAGGATATATGTTACTACTCAGTTGGGATTTTACAGAGAAGGCATTCTCTCACCAGAAAGGTAAAATCTAGGGTTATAAATTACCCACCACTTGGCCTGTGGCCTGTATTTTTAGAGGTGACGTTGTGCAACTGCAAATAGGGGAAAGTGTTAACGTCAATAATGTAAGCGCCTCTGGCAGGGCCATTTAAGAACCTAAATCAACAAAACCTTTGTCAATACAAACCAGGTCCTTTAAATTCTGCAAAATACAAAAAAAAAGCAAAAAATAAAAAAGGAAGATGTTACCTTCATTTTTTTTTTATCCTTGTGTATTGTAAAACTATATCAACACCTGAAATTGAAATCCTTGCTTTTTTAACCTTAAAAATCCATAAAAATGGTGAAAAGGTTATTTGTTTGCATTTAAAGCAGTAATGAATAATGAATGGAGAAATTCATTATTTAGAAAAGTTTATTTAAATACAGTTTTATTAACCATTTTTACTTGAAATTGATCCTTTAAATTACACCCAAAATTTTGTGATGAAAGGGAATGTTTGGAGATTTCATTGCTTTGGATCAAATTTCCACTTAAAGTCACTGGACATTTCAATACTTTCAACGTTTCCAATAAATCTCAGTGTATTTATTTAAACAGTTCAATCCAATATTAAATGAACTAATACTGAATGAACCTAATCTGTATCTTAATTAAAATACAATTCCCCTGTCCCCTCCGTGAATTGCTGCCTTATTTTGGTAGAGGGGTTTTTGTGTCCAAGGGATCCTGGGGGCTATGTTGTCAGGGGGCTTTTGCCCCCCTGGTAGGGTTTACCATGGCAAATTGGTCCTAGGTGAGTGACCAGACAAAGAGCGATTGAAAAACCCCTGTGAGTGTGAAATCTAGGGAACAGTTCACCCTGCCCAGGATAGAGTTACAGGGTTACTGGGGCCCTGCCCTGGAGCCAGCCCCGGTGGTAATGGTAGTGGTGGTAGTGGTACAGCCCAAAGAGGGGACACCACCCACAGGAGGCGCTATGGGGTAGGGTGCAGTGTGTGCAGGGGCGGAGACCCTGACAGAACAATCACCGGGCTACCGAGCAATTGGGATATGGAACGTCACCTCTCTGGTGGTGAAGGAGGCTGAGCTAGTGCGTGAAGTTGAGAGGTACTGGTTAGATATAGTCAGGCTGACCTCAACGCACAGCTTGGGCTCTGGAACCAGTCTCCTGGAGAGGGTCTTGACTCTGTTCCAGTCTGGAGTTTGCTTTGATGAGAGGTGGTGGACTGGGATAGGTATCTTAGTATCCCCCTCCGCTTGCTGCCTGTGCATTGCAGTTGAGGTGGTTTGGGCATCTGACAAGGATTCCTTCTGAGCGCCTCCTGGGTGAGGTGTTCTGGGCATGTCCCACCAGGAGGAGGCCCTGGGGCAGACCCATGACATGCGGGAGAAATTATACCTCTTGGTTGCCCTAGGAACGCTTTTGTGTTCCCCTAGACAAGCTGGCCAAGGAGAGGGAGGTCTGGGCCTGCCTCTCTGCTTAGTCTGCTGCACCCATGACCTCCCCGCAGATAAGCGGAAAAGAATGGATGGATTAAAAACCAAGGTTCTGTGAAGTTACAGACTTGCATGCAGTCAATGTAGGTATATCAGATATTTTAAATGTTGCATGGGCCACATATACAGAATCCAGAGTTCAGATGACTAAAAAAAAATTCTTCTTTTGTTAAAAATGTGAGACAAAATCAGTCGTTGTTGTTCCCAAAGTGTGAAGCTCCCAGTTGGACAACTGCTGCAGAAAACCTGTGTTTGGCCTCATGATGGGTTTACATTTGAGCATATGCGTCCAGGCCTCCTGAAAAAGTTAAACCAACATCATTATGCACTGTATTTACTGTACTTTCTATAACTAGGATCAGTTCTTTCTTGGTGCCATTTTGGAAAATATATTGTTTTTCTTGCCATTTGAGGACACAAGAGCCACACTTTGTGCACATACTGCCACTAAACTGAACGAAACAAACTTGCCTTTAGTGTGTATTTGAGGTAATGGATGAGAAATGCAATGGCCACTGCGCTGGCGCGGCTTCTGCCTTGCTTGGAAACTATCAGGACACGAGAGCCCATGTTGATGTGGGAACCTGAAAGCAGGAGATAACAAGAAAGCCCTCTGCAACACCTGTTCTGTGCAACACTTACTACATTTACAGCAACAAAAAACAAAAATTAGAAAAATCTGAAATCACTCATTACAATTTGTGGTGGATGGATTGCATTGCATAATACACATTGCCTCAAATAATAATTTTCTTTTTAAAATACATTCAGTAAGTTAACGTTACACTCTGTGATTTTAAGTTAACGCTATGACTGATTCATGATACATGATGCATTTCTTTCAGATGGACAGTCTTGAAGCTGTTGTATTTTTACATATTAATAACAAAATAATCAGAAAACAAAATAATTCAGAATTTGAGTAATATGCAATCAGTTTTTTTTAGTTTGAGATCTTGAAATTTTTACCTGAACTAAGACAGCCAACTGCATTTATATAATTATTTCTGTTCTCCTTCTAGAGTTTGCCCAACTGAAGAAATTCAGACACCTATAATTCACTAGTTTCTGACTTCTATGAATTAAATTATAAAATTCAGATTTTTAAACGTCTTGTTAATGAAAGCAAAGGAACAACTTACTAACAAAATTGCAGATCCTTTCAAAGCTTGAATATAAATCAGACCGCACTGAGTCAGCCACAGGGGTGATAAGCAAGGTATGGATCTCCTTCATGAACCTTGATTTGAAGGAATTTAAAAGAGTAAAAAAACAACAACTAATAAGATCTATAAAGCAATATGTTAATTATTCTCTCTAATACTCAATATCCAGCCCAGCCTTACTCGAGAGTGTCACTCTCTGAGATGCTGACGATAGCACCAATTTTCAGGTCTTTGATAAGAGTGAAGTCCATGGATTGCTTCTCATCGCCCATGTACAGCAGTCCTGCTAAGATCTCCACTGGGTAAATCTTAAGGCTTTCCAGCTCCTGAGGTAGCCCACAGATATATACAATCAATTACAACAATTCTCCAAACTGCTTAGACTGGAGCCTATCTCAGCTGTTATGGGGCTAACAGAGTGACAGAAATACTCAATGGTGCCATCCACACTGAAGGCCAATTTATAATCACCGGTTAACATAACATGCATGTCTTTGGACCATGACAGGAAACTGGAGTACTTTGGGAAAAGGGTAAACATCCAGGTTAACCAGTAGGTGGCAAACAGGAAACTTATTGCATGCAAGGTGGCAGTGCAATAATTACCTGACACATTTTATATTTATTAGGCAGAAACTGGAATCAGTTCACTTTAGCTGGATATGTGGGAACACATGAGTAAGAAACTGCCCTGTAGCCGCTAAACACTGGCCTTATGTTACCTTATATTGCAACATATGTAATTTGGCAATTAATTGAATGCTGATGGAAGATTTGTATACCTGGCTCCAGATAAGACAGCCCCCCCATAATCTTAAATTGATGAAAAAAAATGATGGCAGGAATGTTTGTGTTTTAGGAGAGTTCTACCATGATGGTGTTCAGGATTTTCTCAGTCCTCAAAAAAGGGTATTGAGCTGAGAATCTCTGAAAGCCTCCTCTCAATATCTTGACTGGATTGAGGCTAGCCTTAGCGAACACTTGGGCACACGAAGTTGCTCTGCCTGTAATCACAGGGAGAGAGCCACAATAAGCATTGCTTTTAAGGCTGAAATACAGATTTTATTTATTTATTTTTGTTTGTTTGCAGGAAACCAGTTGTTTTCTTTTGGCACAACAATGCAAATAAAATGCATAAAAGTGGACTTGCTCTGAAGAAATCTCTCATTTACCACTCTAACCTTGCTCCTGTAAAGAGCTTGTGTTGTTGTCGTAGACCACCACATGCTCCATACTTTCAACCTCCACAAACTCTGGAAGAAGGAATGTCCCCTCTGAGTCCTGGAAAAAGTCAATTTGAAAGTTTTGGTACAGTCGTGTGCAAAAAGTTTAGAGGAAAGGTTAAAGCCT